GAAGGAGATAGGGCTTTTATCGAGCAATAGAACGTGCCATTAGATGCAAGGTAACTTCCGTACCAAAATTAAAAAAAATTAAAATCATCTGGGGTTAATGTATACATTTGGAGTATGCAGTAGCATCTAGTGACATCGATGACAGTATCGAAATTTAAGGATCGACATTAAATCAAGAACCTGTTGCCGTAAGAGTGGAGAACAAACTGCACTTGCATATCATCATAAACCAAGATCCAAAGGATTTTGGTCGAATGCAAAATTTTTAATGGAAGACTTTTAAAACGTGATCCAGTTAATTAGTGGTTGATTTTGTTCCTGGTTTAAGCTATGGGGATAAATGGACACATCCCGAGACCAACCTTGATACGAAGCATATTTAAGGCGTGATCAAGAGAGATAAAACTTGCCCTTTGGGAATCTGAAGTCATGATTGACCTCAACATTTGAATTCGCTCCAACCCACCTTGTACACCGGCATTCATGCAGATGGTACCGAGGCCTGCTTGACAAGCTTCCTCTCGTCGAGTTGACTCCGATGTTGTAAAATCAATAAAACTGGTATTCACTCCTACGTTGGCCAGTCGCTCCGATACACTATTAAGCCCACACGAGGATGCAGGAGCTGTATACTTGTCACAGGCGTTAGAATCCATGGCAGAGGCAGTGGCATCGGAATCGTCCTCTTTCTGTTTGAGATGGAGTAGTTGTTCCATTAGACGCTCCAAACGGGTCAATCTGTCTGTTTCTATGCGACCGCCATTACCAGAATTGATGCTTACTCCCAACTCCCAAGATTGCTTAGATGCTGTTTGAAGTCGGGGAATTCCTGAGATGAGACCGGATGGCAAAACTGTGCTTTTTGGAATAGGAAATCGAATATGAGGCTGAGGAGCGGGGGGAGAAGCCAGGGTCTGAGTTTTAGCCGTAGGAGTAATTGAGGTTACTGGGGCTAGTGACTGGGTGGGCAGAGATGCCGGAGCTTGGATGGCAGGAAAACCAAGCTGGTGGCAACAGTGGAGACCCGGATCGGATGAGGGACGGTTGGAGTTCTTTAGAGAGGCACAGTGGGACTGACCCCTGATAGGCTGACCCGGTCGATATCTATTCAGATCATAAGCAGAAGATACAGCGTCTACATGATCAGGAAAAGAAGTTTCCAAAGTCAGGTTGTAATTATTTGAAGGCTGGATTTTTGAGGACAGGGAAGCGCAGCAGGCCGGATTCCCAGTTTCTTGATTTGGCAAAGGAGGCCAATAATGAGGCGGTGAGAATCCACGACAGTGAAGTGGTTGATGCTGGTGGTTATGGCGCAGTTGAGTGGTCTCATGGAGCTGCCGCGTTTCAGAGTCCGACTGCATGCTAGGCCGGTGTCGAGGAATCGCCTCATCAGGTGGTCTGGACTCGGATTGGCGGCCATTTTGGTTTGAGAGGATGGCGTTCGCTCGCTCCGATAGACCAAAGGCGGAGTCACAAATAGTCCCATCCAATACAGATGCATGCATTGAAAGATTAAGGGATTCGTGTGGCGAGGGTTGGGGTGTTGGGACTGTGCGCGCTGCCTCCAGAACAGAAGCCCTGGAATAATTGAGTAACAAGTACGTTATAATAAAAGAAAGCAAGAGATGTCAAATGCATTATTACATTTTATAGTAGCGAAAATAAGACTGATCTACAAGGATACAAGAATGAGGAAATTACACTCAGCCAAATATTTTAATAATTTAGTAACCAGTATGTTAAAATAGATTTTTGGATTTTCCAGTTACTAAAGAAATCCAATAGAATATAAAAGCGAATAGAGAAATAACGATAATTTTACCATTTAACATTTCTCTTTTCAGTCTTTGCACAGGAGGTGACAACAGAACTTTTGACTGAAATACTCTGTTTTTGAATAGAAGTAGTCGTTGGTGATGCGTTTAAGCAATGTGAATCAATGCTCCCACCGAATAAGTGGTACATGTGCGCATTATCTGCTGAAAGCCGAGAAATGGCACATTTGAAAATGTGCGCCTTGGTGCGAACTGAACCAATTTCATCACCTCCAAGGAAAGCTTCATCATCACTGTCACCATCAGAGTTAGGTGAATCTTCCTTCCTGCCGTTATATACATCGTCTAAAATATATGAACAATTTAAATATCAAATATAGTCATGAGAATAAATCAATAACAAAAATTTATCAATTGTAGTGACAGAAAATGAGTTATTAGCATACCTAGAGGACCGATTAGCTTCGCTAGAGGAAGTTCAACTAATTGAAGAACATATGAATCCGTTTCAGCTCTTGACGATATATAACATGTATCAAGTGAACCAAAGCCCGAAAATAACCTAAAATGCAACTAAAAAGATAAAACAATATAGCTATTGTAGTAAATTTTATAGATACATTTTTATCAAAGGAATACCTTTATTTTATCATGACTGGGGTTAGGACAATCTATTGATAAAGGAGCGAGTCGATCATCATCATCATCAGAATCCAGAAAGACTTCGTAGCAGGAAGACAGGCCCGGAGTAGGGCCGAAAAGGGCCAGTACCATAGAAGGATAATAATTAGTAGATCGGTTAGAGCCCCCTTGGTGCCGCACAAGACGAGGTAGTAGATTAGCAGATAAGAAAAAACGAGCACAAGCGGCCCAAATGCCATAATAACTCAGATGAGAAACTCCGGATAACCATCTGCAATAATAGAGCCAGCGATCAGTCTGATGTATCATTAAATAAAAGCATGAATAAAATGCAAGCTTACATTCCAATAAGACTAACAGAAAATAATTCAGGATCATTTTCTAAATATGGCATAAGCTGATTTGAGTGATCTAAAGATAAATACCTTTAAAAATAAGGAAAAAATAGCGAACCCGAATCTAAATGGCTGAACACATTCATTTGACAGAGCCCCAACTACATCACTCATGAATAATATGCCCTCAAGCCCCTTAGATAATGCCTTGTCTGAGAGTGGAATGGATGGAATGGGAAGAGCGTATAGATTGATAAGAGGCACTATAGCTTCTACTTCAAACCACGTGAGTTGATCATCATAGCGAGGACTAAAAGCTGGCTTGGGATCGAATTGCTTTTCCTGTACTCCAGCGTGTATATTTAAAGAAAAGCATCTGCATGGATCAAGTAAAGAGGTATCTTTGACTAAATGATGCCAAATTGAATCAAGAGAGCGGTCAAATCGACACGAAGAGGGCTGCAGACGAGAGCCTTTGTATAACTTTATTCAATAAAAAAAA